ATTTCAGGAAGGATCAGGTGTTTAAATGGCAAGATAATCTGAATGCCACAGCATCTGCGTCGGTAGATACATCCCCACATAATGAACCCAAATCTGATATTACCACAGGGACTCTATTGAAAGATAATATACGGGATGTGAGACCAGTTAGCAAACCGCAAGAAACACCCGAAAAATAATGACTACCATACACCGACTAATAAAGGGAAATCAAAGGGTAAAGACCACCATACAATAAGACCTCAGGGGAATGGTTATGGGAACCAATGGAGACCACAACATCCACAATTCAGGCCCCATTATCCGCCAAGAAATAATTTTAACCCGTACCCAAATGATCGCCAATATAGACCACCTAATAGAGATCAAGGATATTACCGTAACGACAGGAACTACTACCAGCCATATGATATGAGAAGCCCACTACCAACATATAATCGCTATGAACCCCTTGGATATGAACTACCCGCAGGATAATTTTTTAGAGAGGGGCAGAATAGTGAAAAGCCCAGGGGGGGAAAGAGGAAGGAGCCCAATAAAAAATACAGAGGGTGTAGAGCAGGAGCAAGAGAAAAAAAGAAAAAGAGACCACTAGGGGTTGGGGTTTTCAATCTGAGTGGGGAGACACTGTCTATAGAAGAGTTGGAAGTGCTAGATAAGGGTCTCAAATTTGCCCCCACCCAAACCGGCTAATAGGTTTGATGTATATGTGGATCTACTTAAATACTAGGAAATTAAACATTAAAAAATATTTTCTAGGGTTTACCAGGTAGCTCAAAGAGGGCTATTAAAGAGACCAGCAGTATTGTACATACAGAACTTAGGAACAAGTCACTGTTCAACCCACAACCAAACAAAATAAGAATAATCAGATTGAAGTAGTCTTTTAAGAAAGATGATTCAATCAGATATAGAGACGGTCAAATTACCCCACATTCCCTGTAATGGAAGAATCAAAGCAGGTATTAAGAGAAACTGTCACAACGAACGGATTATAGAGTAAGACCAGCAATAAAGGGGGGGGGATTGTAGTTCTGTCAAAAAATCAAAACTTAGGAGAACTTAATTCACAATTAAAAGATATCACCACATATAAAATATTGCATAAAGATCGCTACTATGAAATATAGAAAAAACTCGAAATTCTGATAGATAAGGAGTACAGAGGAACATCCTCAATAAGAAAGAAGCTAGATATCTTTTACCGGACACATGCAGAATACCCCATTATTTACCTAGTTCCCAAAATTCACAAAAGACCTCCATAACCCCCCGGGAAGACCCATTGTGAATGGGATCGATTCTATCCTATCAAGGCTAGGGCAATATGTAGATACGTTTCTACAGCCACAAAAGTCAAAAACACAGTCTCTTACCTCAAAGACACCAAACATTTGATTCAAACTTTAACTACGATCCAAGATACCAGAGAATTATGGTTAGCGAGTGCAGATGTTTCCTGCTATAATACCATCATAGACCATGAGAAACGCGATTACATCTACCAGTATAAATTTGGGATTGAGAACATATAGCAACCCTCTTGAGGAAACAACAGAAATACATTGTTGAGTGTCTGGATTTCTGCCTCACTCACAACTATTTCTGGCACGGACACCAATTCTTCCAACAAATTAAGGGGGTTGCCATGGGTGCCCGTTTTTGCACCGAGTGTAGCAAATCTTTTTTATGGCCCACTGGGAACAGCACACCTCCGTCTACTGTAAAATGACGAGTGTAGTACTATACAAACGATACATCGATGACGTGATAATCCATGCGGGGGTGATGAGGACTCCTTACAAGTATTTTGCAGTCACTTAACACCAATGATAAGAACATTGTTTTCTCCTGGGAAACTAGTAGGGAAGACATACACTTCTTGGACCTTAACATATCAATTAAGAATGACAAACTGCTAACCACTACTTATTTTAAAAATGTAGACAGAAATGGCTATATTTCTCTAGACAGTTGCCATTACCCCCAATGGCTCCTTAATATCCCCAAAGGACAATTTGTCCGCCTGCGAAGGAATTGTAACCAATGTGGATGACTATAAAGCACAAGTTCAGAAACTAGGGGGACATGTTTGACAAAAAGGCTATAACAAGGACTTTATTGCAAGCAAGATGGGAGGAGGTAGAACATATGGACAGAACCCAATTACTTAAGATAAAGAACAAACAAAACAACTAGAGGACTTGGTACCTATTGTTCTAGATTATAACATACACCACAAAAGGATCGAGAAGATTTTCTCGAAATACTGGTCCATTTTACAATCAGACCCAGTCTTGACGAAAGTTATACTGCTAAACCAAAATTCATCTATAGAAAGGGCTCCAAATATTAAACTCGTTTGTAAAGAATGTGATTGATCCACCCCAGACTAATCTAAGAACCACGATTATTGACCTAAAAGGGTTCTACCCCTGCAAGACCTGCTATGCGTGTAGGGAGACAAAGGTTTAAATATAAGAAGAAAAAAATTTCAGGCAACAACAAACTGGAGTGACATATACTATCAAGGACTTTATATCCTGTCAGACAGCAGGTGTAGTATATGGCCTCCAGTGTGAGGTGGACTTTCAATATATTGGCAGAACCAAGAGACCTATGTGGAAAAGGATCCGAGAACACGTGCAGAATATTAAAAAAGGGCACACCAAACATAGTGTTTTCCAAACATTTTGCTATACATCATAAAAGCGACCCAACGAAATTAAAGTTTTGGGGTATAGAGAAATTTTAACAACCACTGAGAGGAAGCAACAAGATCAGAGCCATTAGCCAGGCAAAAGTCAAAATGGATCTTTTTGATGAGGTCCCAAATACCCCGAGAGGTTTGAACGTAGAATTTGACTTAAACTGCTTCATTAGTAACTTCTAAAGTAATGACTAGTGTTTTCCTCATCCATGCTCACCTTGGATTTATTGATGAAGGTTTTGACACTATTACCTATGTATGTAACATGACCAAGAATATGTGGTGGGTATGGGCTTAGGATGCTGCTTAATTAAATCATGATGATGGTGTACCGTATACATATGACCTTTTGGGTTTTTTAGTATATATATATTATTATGTAGATTTTAGTTTTATTATTACAGTGAGGTATCATTTTGGTATAGAATACCCCTACCCTTTACATATGTATTGTCCTTAGTAACACAGTTTTTTATACATTTTTTTTTCATTTTTTTTTGACAGTGACAGGTGTCATCCCATATATTCTACCTGATGGTATAGAATGGTTTCATAAAGGAATTTTTTAAAGTTTTTTAGTTTTTCCTAATATCCTCCTTATAATCATTTTTACCCTTATCGTTATGATTGTTCTATATATGCCAGGTTCTTGCCTGCTTATGATTTTATTATATGTTAGTAACAAGGTATTATCCCATTAAGACTTAATAGGTAATCTGTATACCTGAGAGGGTCGGGCCCGTTTAGTCACTAGACGTCCCCGATGACTATACACACTAGGTGAGCTCCACTATTAAGGCGGTGAAGCTCAGCCCACTTATATTACTGATTGGCCAGCGATTGGGATAAATAAAGCTCCACCCGGGATGGGCGTTATCCTGATGAAGTCACGTGTGTGAGTGACTAACGCGTAGATACGCCAAGGGGAGGAGCTGATACGACTGAACGTTCTGGACGTCACATCCGGCGCGGGCGCCATCTTGGTGCACCTGGTCCTGAATACAGTACACCCTCTGAGTGGTGACAAGGCCTGATTTGTTTTAGAAGCATGTGAGTACGTTTCTTCACTTTTTATTGTCTGAATAAAGCGGTTTTACACTATGCAAGCTCTCTATTCCTCATTTGTTATCGTGAGGGAGGAGACCTATCGCTACTACCAACGATCTACATAGGAGTTAAGAGGAGGAGAAGTCCAATACTGACATCCGGGGAACCCATCAGCAGAGGGATCCATCCACGCTCAGGGGTATAGAGCGATTATATACCCAAGGCTCGTTGGTCCTGTGGGGCCTGGGCAGGAAGGTGAGGGGGCACTACCACCTGTCTGAGGATTGGCACTTGTAGTGTCTGCAGATTGGCACTCCATTTATGTGAGGAGGGGGGCACTCCACCTGTCTGAGGATTGGCATTTGAAGTGCACACCTGCATGACTTCATTTTTTTCCACATGGACACTATTCATGTTATTGTGCTTTAGTCACTTTACTGTGTGGTATCACTTATTTATCACTTATTAGTTACATGTGATAAGTTATCTGTATTACATCTAGGTTATAGAAGCGCCGCACTGTTTTTCTATTTCTGCAAGTACCCTGCAGCCTTGTTCAGTACAACAAACAAGGGGTTAAAAACAGACAGCGGTGTGTGTTGCTTTCTCACAACCTGTTTTAACACCTTTGACCCCACAGACGCATGCAGTTGCAAGGCGCCTGCAGAGTGGCTTCATTGACTTGAATGGGTCGCGATTAGTAGGTGGTAGCACCCACCAAAAGCAAACGGGGTTTAATTCCTGCTGCGGCACATGCATACCTTTTGGCTGCTGGCTCAGCTACTAAATAGGGTAGGGATTGAGGTAGGTGAAACCGCGACAACCAATCCCCCCACGTTGTGTGTGAACGAGCCCTAAGGGTGCCGTTGCCAAATGCATCTAAGGGCTCATTCACAAGTGCAGCAGACACTGCTGCTCCTCCAAATGCGGTCTAGTGTGTGTTTGACAGGTGGTAAGGAGGCGATATGTTGCCTCCTTACCACCTGATGTAAACTCGTGATGATGACATGGTAGTACGGCAATTACAGATTTAAATTAAGTGTGAGGAAGCGACGCTGCCCGGTGATCTTTGACTTCTCCTATGTCATTTAGGTAGATCTCCACCTATTTAAGGTTACCTTACCCCTGGTGTGTAAAGTAACAGGTAGAAAACAATTTCAGAACCGGTACATTCTAATCACTGTGTTCTTTGATCTCCTAGAGGATAACCAACCTTCTGATAGTCTTCTCTATATTTCTGCAGGCAAGATTCTTCGGAGCCTGGTGCAGAGACTTCATGATTTGGGAGCAGATCATGTCATCACAGAGGAACAGCTGCGCAAGCCAGAGATGAAGATTTATTTAAGGTAAGACCAGTCATCTTGTCCGTTACACATATTACCGCTTCCATGTCTGTGAATGCTCTAACTATGTCTCTTACAGACCTGCCCCCGCCCACGATTAGCATTGAACTGTGTTGGAGGCAAAAGCACAACTGAAATGTTGCGTCATTTAGAGTAAGTAGCCTTAACAATTTCATTACCAGGCTCAGCCTCCCATTATTTACTTTTTCTTTTTCACTTTCAGCTTTCAAGTTAGTAAAATGTCCCCGTGGCATATAGTTTCTGAATGCATAGAGCCTGTAGAATATGGTGCTACTGATTTAGTATGTTTCCTGAGCGTTCTTAGCACACAAAAATACTGCATAACTTTCAAAATTCTTATGAAATCTAAACTATAAAATATTATAATGTTCATAAATTACAAATATTGTAAAGTTTTAATTTTGGCTTTTTTGCAAACAGAAAATTGAAGGAATGCCAAAGTATGAATAAGCAACTTTAGGTGTATGCATCTGCCCGTATGTATGTAACTGCAGTGCAGTAGGTTGCAGTGCCATTCATTTTCAAGTGGACCCAAGCAAACCTTGCTAGCACATCTCAGGGAATGTGCTTCAGCACACAACAGTGCAGAGATGCTTAGGAAAGCGGCTGATTTTCTAACAGTGATCGCTGTCAAGAGTTATTAACTGTTAGAAACTATCCAACTTCAGATTCACATGCCATATTATACAACCACGCCTGGCCTCAGAGACCCTTTGGGAGCGCGCAGGCTCCCTATTTATGCTCTGTTGGCATCAAAACACACCCTGTGCATGTGGTCATAAATTTGCCCACTGTATCAGGTGACATATACAATGTGCATTTGACATAATGACATCATGCTGTTCAAGCCATGCATTTGTGGAGTGCAATGACATGTGTTTCAGCAGCCCATAAGCATGTATAGACTGCAGTCATGGAGGAGGGTTTTTGCATTTCAGTTCTACCCACCTCCACCAAACACTCCAGACTAGAACAATCCATGGAGGCCAAGCAAACGGACAAACATAAGAAAAAATCTGAAGGGGAGTAGAAAAGAGAATGTCATAGCCTCTCCAATACATCCCTGGCCCTATATCCAGATGTTAAAAGGACTCCAGCACAAATGTGGTCCTAAAACATAGTCAAATGCAGATATCCTGTTTTAAACATGTAATCACGTACCATATAATATAAGACCTAATAAAAACACAGCTTTATAGCTGGTAGATTAAGACCAGGTTTACAAGTAGTTTTTTAAATTGTAAATTCTTTTCATTTCAGTTTAAAGTAACACTTTATAAAAAAGTAGGGTTTTGATGGATCTTGAAAAAAGTAAAAGAATGAATGGAATCGCAATAGTAATCCACTGCACCATGCCTATCTATTAGTATTGATAAGTGACCAATACTAAAAGATCATAAATCCTGCACCACAATGGCTGCTTTGTTTTGCCAATATAGAAGTATTCACATTGACCCTGTAGCATGTAATTTGCGACAGCATTGTATTAACTGTTACAGGCTCTTGTACCTATATCAGCTTGGAAGCTACAACAAGTTAACAATCTGAGGTGGAGCATTTGCTCACATATTCCTATTTTTTTTTTTTCAACTGGTTATCTAAAAGGAAACTGTTGAAATGAATACATGGTCTACCATGCCTAACCTCCAAAAACATAGTTCCTAGATATAGTAGTTTGAGTTAGGCTGGCCATACATGAGTTTTTTTTTTTTTTTTGTTTTTTTTTTTTTGTTTTGTTTTTTTTGTTTTTTTTTTCCCTGCTGTGCTATTGTATTCCAACAGCAGGGAGACCCCCTGCCATCAGAATACACTGATCAGCACTGCCTGGCTGTAACTGGCAGAGCTGATCGAGAGGAAATGTTAAAATTCTCTAACAGGCGGGTTGTACACCAGTCAAGCAATGGATTGACAAATTTATATATATATATATATATAATATATTATATATATATATATAATATATATATATATTTCAACATTAACGACATATATACATTTTTGTTTTTTTTATACGGCCCATTAAACACCAGTTCTGGTGTCAAGCCTTTGTTTTCTCCATTTTGTGTTGCCAATCATACGAAGCTCCTTTGTCACAAATTATGTATGCAAACCGTTATCACTAATCATGAACGTCTTGTAGTTCTGCTGCTCTGAGAAAGTTTGTGACTACTGCCACCGCTATATTTACATTTGGTGTTGGCATGTGCCATTTTTCCTGTGCTGGCATTGAGGTTGTACAATTAAATTCAATTGCACACTTGGTTTCAAATGTAGTAGAAATGAGAGTGACAGTGTTTTGTTGTTAACTTTTAGTTATGGTGGGACTATGGTTACCTATGGAGGAATGGCTAAACAGCCTGTTACTGTTCCTGTGGTGAGTAATCCACTATCTGATATTAAATGTAAAATGTCTTTTTGTTCTAAAGCTCAATCTATAGTCAAAGTGACCTATACCCAACAAAAACAAAACAATTTGTTGGGATAGATAAAAAAAATATTAGTAGGGATAAAATATTTGCGTATCCTGGAGAAAATACAACTGCAGTCTTTCTTTAGTGCAACCACTGAAGGCCTGGGCACTTAACCAGGTGATCTCTGCTAAAAGCGAGGATGACCAAATCCAAACTTAGGTTCCTTCTTTTTAACAGACAAAGCAAGACCAGGTCATTAGGCCTTTAGATTTGTAACAAGCATGTGGCTGAAGACAGCTGTTAGAAAAAAAAGACTCTAATATTTATTTTATTTTATTTTTCAGTAGAGTGGGGAGCTGTTAGCGATTAAAACCTGATAATGGGTCAGTGTCTTCCTGTACCAGTGAGATCTGTTCTTCAAGTTTTGTTTTCTGGAGATGCAGACAAAAAGTAAAAGGGCATCTCTCATGTGAGGATGTAGAACATTCTGGATGAATTTTATTGTTTTCTATCTCTTCCTCACACTACTAGAATATTGTAATATGATAAGACAAATTGCATAAACTCAACCATACATTGGCCAATCTGGCATAGTAATGCTCACATAGTGGTAAAATATGATTCATAGGGTGACATTAGTGACAAATAAACTGAAGGAAATGGTGCGTGGTGATCTATGGATCCAACTTGCCGTTAAAAAGAATCTAGTGCAATTATGCGCTTACCAAAAGTACATACAATCTGGCGTTGTATGTATATCATATCCGAGGTAACATCAGGGTCTGGTCAGTGGTTTAGGCAGCATCCGGCACCATGGTGGACACTCGGGAAAGATGAGACTCACACTTGGGGGTCACTCAGGTTCACCGGCAGGTCCAACGAAGCGCAGACTCCTAATGAAACTCTCCAGGAACACTCCACCTTGTAAGGCTGCAAATAACGAGCCAGGGGGCAAAATGGTAATAGAATAATATGGCCTCCAGGCCTTCCTCCTAGGCTCACTGGTGGCTAATGGCGTCAGTTTGATGGATCCCCAGTTTTTAGCTGGCGTCTGTTGAGAGGATTTTACCCCTTTGAAAACGTGCGAGGTGCACGAAACATGTCAGGGGATCCATCAAACTGACGCCATTAGCCACCAGTGAGCCTAGGAGGAAGGCCTGGAGGCCATATTATTCTATTACCATTTTGCCCCCTGGCTCGTTATTTGCGAGCCTTACAAGGTGGAGTGTTCCTGGAGAGTTTCATTAGGAGTCTGCGCTTCGTTGGACCTGCCGGTGAACCTGAGGTGACCCCCAAGTGTGAGTCTCATCATTCCTGAGTGTCCACCATGGTGCCGGATGCTGCCTAAACCACTGACCAGACCCTGATGTTACCTCAGATATGATATACATAAAACGCTCAGATTGTATGTACTTTTGGTAAGCGCATAATTGCACTAGATTCTTTTGAACGGCAAGTTGGATCCATAGATCACCAAGCACCATTTCCTTCAGTTTGATTTGATTTGTCACTTTATGAATCATATTTTAACACTATGTGAGCATTACTATGCCAGATTGGCCAATGTATGGTTGAGTTTATGCAATTTGGTCTTATATATTACAATATTCTTTTTTAGCGCTGCATACCCTTTTATTATGTTATGCTACTGAGGTGCTGAGGATTACCTTTTATGCTAGCCGCTTTCTTATCAGGTTGCGCTCACTTACCTTGTTTTGAAAAATGTTTGGAGTTGGGGTTTAAGGATTTGTGCCTGCCTGCAGTTTTGGTTACAGTGTAATGCATGTTTTATCGTTACTGCAATAAAGCACGCTAAAGGAATAACTATTTTTAATATTGTTGAAGCAACCATTTTGGGGGGATAAATAGTGGCAATATAACTTACCTGTGAAGAAAGCCGCACTATACTTACTGTCTGATAGCTCGTTGCTGAAATTTTGCTGTGTAACTGAACCCCTGGCACTGATCCTACTTGACACCATGGACTAATCGAATAGTGGGTCTGTGTGTTATTGATTCTGCTGGCTCCTGCTAATTAATCTAACGTGTCAGGTTCAGTGAAAACCAGGTTTCAGAGGAGTTGGGGAGTGTCTAGCCTGGGTAAAAAAGATTTTGTGTATGAGAGAAAGTAAAGGTAGGTGCAGTAAAAGTAGTCCATCACTTTGCTTCAATCCCATAAGGTCAGTTAGTGTAGGATAATGGGATTAGGCATACTTTTGCGTCCTGGTGGTTTCAACCAGAAACGTTTGTCAATAGACAGTGGGTTGCAATCTCCTGCTTCAAGTCCTACTCAAAAAGGAGTTTCTCAAGTGGCATGGAATTTAGTTAATTTTGCTAACTGCAAGGTGTGATATTGTAAAGTTTGGGGAGTCCCAAGCCCCCTTTAATCTAAGATGAATAGTCTTCTTGGGGAGTCTTGTTTTGATTGTACATAGAAGTAGTGAAGAAACACGGCTGTGCAGAGTTTTTAGGTAATATCCTACACTGGAATGGGGAGACCTTTTGAAAGATAAAAGATCTTGGGTAACAGGGTCATCTTGACTGCCATAGTTTTGCCTACCCCTGGGATATAGAGTGGAGGCCAACATGTAATTAGGAAGGTTAGTTGGTGAGCATAGGGTGGTAAATGGCTTGGTAAAGGGTGGTGTAGGTTTTGGTTAAATTGACACCAAGACAGATGATGTGGTGTCCTGGTAAATGGCAAAATATTCTGCAGGGAGGGAGGGATCGATTGAGGGCTTTTGATTTCAGTGTATTTGCTTTAAGGCTAGTAATTTGAGCAGAGTGGTCAAGGGAAGCAAGTTAGAGGTAATGATATGCAGGGATCTTAACAAGAGGACATCATTGCAAATAAACTGAATTTATGATGGTATCCAGCTATTTTGATGTCTGAGTTAGATCAAATTAGGTGGGCTAGTGGTTCAATAGTTATTGCAAACAGGGGAGAAAGGTTTGGGCAACCCTGTGTAGTACCTCTTGCGATGGGGAAATAGTTAAATTTGTATCCAGGACCAGCCATATTCCTAGAAATTCTGCCGTAAATAGTTAAAGTCCAATTACGTCTCTATTAATTTTTTTGAAATGTGCAGAGCAATGACAATTAGAAAACTAAAAATTCAAGGCATCTTTTTTTTTTTTTTTTTTTTTTTTTTTTTTTTTTTTTTTTTTTTAGTGTTCACTACATTTGGAGAAGGAATATAATCCCTAATATGTAGTATCCTCCCTGTGTAAAGTGTTTAAAGCCCTTCCCAGGCTGAATCATGACCCCTTAAAAATGCTTTGTCTGGATATACACTTGATTTGTGTTTTTTTTTTTTTTTTTTTTTTTTTTTTCATGAATATTTTTTTTTTCAAAAATTCAATGTTCTGCACATTTACAAATAAAAATGGAGTTATGCTTTACCTGTCTACTACAGAATTTCCAATAGTCAACCAAAAATGAAATGTGGCACTTTCAGTGATGTGGATCTCGATCAGTCCTGATTCATGGGGGATGAAGAAAGAGAGAGATGCTGACATCACAGAGCAGTAAAAGCAACCTGTGCTATCCCAAACTTGTGGCCTTAATCTTTAATGCCCTGGTTCTCAGCTTGCATCCCTTTTGGTAGTTATGGTATGACTCTCAGACTTCAATAGCCAGTAGTGGGAGAATTTATCTTTAAGGTGCAGTTCCGCATAACCTATCCCTATTCTATCAGCAGACTCTTGCAGCATTATCTCCAGCATCAACTACATCTGTAGCATGTCCCCAGTCAGAGACTGCTGGCGATGGTCAGACGTTAACCTTTTAACCCTCCTTCCCTGAACCTTTACCCTCTTGCCCCCACTTAAAGCACTTTTGCAGCAGCAAAGAGGGCGAGCTTTAACGCCCTTGTACCCCACATATACATCCATGATGGGCAGAGCTTTGTGTGCTGACAGCATGCTCCTAGCACAGTGATTGAGCTGTCAAAGACTGCTTTTGGGCTCTAATAATGACCGGGAGGTGGTGGAACCAGTTTCCAATCATGTGACAGCCAATCACAGCAGTCATGTGATCGGCCAGTCCTCCCTGCATTATAGGTGTAAAAACCCTGTTTAAAGTGTTATTAAACGCACAACAGTAAAATTAGTCTCTATATGCAGTAAAGTATGCTTGTTCTACTCACTGTGGAACTTACGGGGTTAATCCTTTGCATTGTATATAAAGGATGTTTAATCCTGTCTTCTCTGATCCTCCTCTTCTTCCACTGTCCCTGATCCATCTCCTGATAGAACAGAGCCTTGGGGGCAAGCTGCACATGCACAGTTAATGTGTGTTGCTAGAGAGTTTTTTTTTTTTTCTTTTTTCTTGGGAGGGTGCATGTGATCAGCACTGTCCAGACAGAGGGTCAGGGGTTATGCAGCCTCATAGGAAATAATGACACTAGCTGAGAAGGGTTAACATCTAGGGTGATTAAGGGGGTTAAATGTGTGCCTAAGTATGTGTAATGGTGGGTGTAAAAGTGTGCTCTTTTTGCTAAAAGATCTCGGTTTCTCATTATTTCTTTGCAGGGTTGAGAAACAGAGATTGTTCCCTCTGTACAGAGCACTGTGTTGATTGTCCGCACAGAGCTCTGGGCTGTGCTTGTACATAGCCATCAGCAGGTCAGGGGCCATGAATCATTGTACAGAGCGGGGGACTGAAACCCGGAAGTAGGCAGTGGTGCACAGGTAGGTTGCTTTACCTACAGCGACTGCCCCTCCGTAGTACATTGCAGGCGGTCAGGAAGTGAATAGAGGAAGGGGAGCTCCCTGGTAAATGGGTTGAATGTTTCTATACACTGTTAGTGTTTCCACTTGTTTTGACTGTGAATGGTTCACAGCAGTCAAAAGGTACAAACCTACTCTGGCTCTGTAAGTCATGACTGTAGGCTGAGCTATCCAGTGACAGATCATATCACAGCCATTCAATGGTGCACTGGCTGCCCAAGTATGTTTTCTGAAGTGTCATTTACAAGCAGCATTTCAGAAATGCACATGCACTCCCTACCATTTTTTTACAATGTGGAGGTATGAAGGTGGTTAATGCCTAATCTGTATCCCCATATGCAATAAATGCAACTCAGAAGGGACTATTACATCACTGACAACTGTAATTACTTTTTTTTGTTTTATCTGTTTCAGAGTGCTCTAATATTTAAAAATATCAGGCTATGTGGTTTTTGGGTAACTCAGTGGAAAAAAGACCGACAACACAGTGAGTACCTAAATGTCTTGGCACTTGTTAATATTCTGATTATTAGACTCATTGCTGCCATTATTTTTTAATTTCTTAAACGTACATCACAGGACACAGAGGGGTTCCAGATCAATTCATAGTCATGATTTCTTGGGTTATGCTGCCACCTTCATGTGAATAGACACTGGCAAAATAAAGGCAGGAATTTCCATCAAGGCATAACCTTTACAAGCTCAGCTAAGCCTCAGTTTTTAGCTTGTCTGTGAAAGAGACCTCTTAGTGTTACCACTGTTGGATCTGCTGAACTCTTCTAAAGTCACTTGACGGTGCACTCACCTACAAGAAGTGGTGTATACAGATTGGGCTCTAGGAATTACAAGAAATGAAGTACCCTGGCTGTTGATCCAACTATTTTCTTCTTAAATAAGACCCTGGCAGTCCCAGTGGATAGAGTGCCAGACTTTAAAAAACACCCCAGATAAGAGGTTGGAACCTCTCTTAATGGCTTCACTCTCTCTGGTGGCTGTGATGGGAGTTTGACAAACCCTTTAAAGTCTGACAAAGAGTATGCTTTATTCCTGAGAATCAAATCCTGAAAATCGGCCAATTAGCAGCTCTACAAGGAGGCATTCAGCACTATGTATGGTCAGTTTAATCTGACCTGTGCCTTTTCTTTTCTTTCCTCCACAGTTGGGGAAAAGTGGATAATGAGCATATAAGTTGTCTCGGCTATGGATTCTTGTTTGCGGAATATATTGACATAGAGGGGGACACAGCTTCTTCAGCAGCAGGGATACACTCAACGGCTTCCTACTATTGGAAACGTTTCTCCAACTGTGGAGGCACGTTGCCAGTATAGGTGGATGGCATTGTGGACTGATGTCTTGAGACCATATTCTCTCAGCATATGTGCACTAGGTCAGCGGTATTTAACAATTATTGGTAAACAGAAAAGTTCACCCCCCCCCCCCATGATGGATGTGTTTGTATGCTAGTAACTATGTTGCTTGATGCAATGAAGAATACAGCTACTTAATTCCTAGGGGTGAGTACAAATTACCCAATCAAGGTTACCTATTATTGTACAGTTATGTCTGCGTGCAATAATATACAACATTGCTTATTTTCTCATTAGATAAATACTGATGATGATTTAACTCCTCTGTTACATTCCATCTGGCAAAAAATACCTTGCAGGTTATGTGTTTTCACACGAACTACCTGCTGAATGATCTCCTACATATTGGCCCTGAGTACCCATAATTGATCATCTAATCAATGGGTGTCATACATGGGCAAAAGTGAAGAGTGATAAAAGGCATTTAGGCAGTCTCAAAGCAACTACTAGTATTTAACACCCTTGATGGTAAAGCACTATGTGGCAAACCGTATAGTGCCCTAAGTACGTAGCAGTGAAGCACCTAACTTAACCCCTTCACTCCTAAGACTAAAATAAATCTTAATGCCTAAGCACAATTTTGCAACATTGTGTTCGTAAAACCGTACATATCACAACTTCTTTGTACATCCAGGTGAATTATACTTTGTTTTTTTTCAGGACAAATTGGGCTTTCATTTGGTGGTAAATGGTAATGGATATCTCCTGTTTTTTTTTTTCCTTATTAAAGGAAAACTGGCCCAGAATAGTAAAAATAAATATATTTTTTAATTTAGCTGTGTGTTTCTTGTGACTACCATAACCTACCACCAAAGAAGGACCCAAAATAAATTTTACAGGTCTTGATGATTGCAACAATACCATATATGTGTATGTTATTTGTTTGTACTTGTAGTACAGTGCGCATTTTGTTTGTTTGTTTTTTTTTTTTTTTTTTTTTACCTAAAACACACTGACACTAATACCAATTTAAAAAAAAATCCTGACATCTTGACCCAAACACTTACCCTGGCACTGAATTAGATCAAACCTTGATCAAGGTATTTTTTTCTTTAATTTTATTTTTTTTTAACAAACATATTTTTTCCCCCCTCTATACCAGGAGGTGGAGAGATACAATGTATCTCTCTTCTCCATTCATATAGAGAAAAAAAAACAAAAACATGAGGGCCAGGCTGTACAGTGACTGATCACTGTGATAGCCAGTCAGAGGCTATCAGTGATCATGTGACCCAGAATCGGGAGTCCTGGGTCCCGATCGTTAGAATGAGACCCGGGGCTCTCAATGACACCCCAGTCTTTGTGCTGGGAGCACTCTGTGTGGCGTGCTCCCAGCAGAAAGACAGGTACGCAAATATGCGGCCCCACAGAAACAAATCCCAGTTCTGTGAGGCCGCATAGTTGTGTTACGTCAGCGTCAAGCGGCAGTTGGCCAAGCATTAAACTGAAAGGGCAATCTGTGAATGAAAGGGTGGCTCCCCAAGGAACGTATGTTTGGCAATATATGCAATGTTGACCCTGCCAAGGTAGATTGCCAAATTACATTGCATATATTGTTTGGCAATATATGCAATGTTGACCCTGCCAAGGTAGATTGCCAAATTAATATTGTCCCTAGAGATGCTGGCTGATCTCTAGGGACAATATTACAAGCCATTTAAAGGAACCTCCACCAAACTGCCTTTTTTAATTCGAGATCTTCAGATTAAGGGTGAGAGAATGACCTTGTGGCTATATCTTAAATATGTATGGAGTGTCTGACACCATCTAGCTGTTTTTAATTATACATGTTGTGTGTGCCAAATAACTCTGGTTTTTAAAATTTTTTGCTAACATTAAAATATTTTTTAGATGATATAATTATGGTTTATTAAGCCACATTTGTCACCAAAGTAACCACTTACCTGCTTTTGGCACCCTTGCTGAAGAATTTTTTTTCTACACATCCTTTTCTGGTTACGGTGACAACACTAAACGTAGTGACATGGCAGACCAGACATAATAGTGGGCGGGTTTTTTCCTCATTTCTTCTGGATTGCTTTTGGATTGCCTTTGTACCTAAATACTTTTGTGTCCCATAATGTATGATCAAGAAAGCAAGATTTTTGACTTGCTATAAAATCTTTTTTTAATGGACTACATACAGGTCACTTCCCTCTGTTTTCTTATGATCCACTCCCACTATTGCTTGCTACAAAAGGCTTGCCGGGAATGGGCAAGGTTATACTGAGTTGTCTTTACAGAATATTTGCCAGTGTTCAGTTCCCCAAAGGCAGCAGCCTAACCCGATGTACCAGATTACTTCTCCTGTGTCTAGTAATGGACTCCAAGAAAAGGATTTTACAGGAAATGTCAGGAAACCAAAGCACCTGTTGTTAGCACTATGGTCTTCAGACCTGAAAGGTACAGTTCTGGTGTCCGCCAGCAGTTTCCAAGAATTAGTCTTCACCTGATGCTAGTTGTTGGAGAGAGCATTTAGCCCTCATTTATTCTTTTATAGCTTTCCACAGTGCTTCAGAATTTTGCCCTGCATGCCAGATATCCTGGTCTTGTTCCTCCTGTCCTGATCCTGCTTAGGTACAAGGCAGCAAGGGTCAGGGTAGCAGGTACAGAAGCAGGATCAGGACAGCAGCAACAGGATCAGGATGTTGAGCATACAGGGAAAAATTCTTAGGCACTGTGGAAAGCTAGAAGATGGGGCTAAATGCCCTCCTAATAAGCGGTATCAGGTGCAGACTTTCCTGTGACCTGCTGGCTGCTGGGAGGCAGTCACTGATTGACACCAGAACTACACTTTTCAGGTTTGAGTACTACATTGCCACCAGCAGGTGCTCTGGTTGCTGACAGTTAAGTTAAAATCCTATTTTTCAGTAAAAAATATTCTCATTGTGTTTGTGTGTAATAAATTAATTTCATACACAATTTTTTCTTGGTAAAACATAAAAGATGAGGTTGCTTCAAAAAATAGATGCCAAATATTGCACTTTTAAGCCTCAAAATTGTGCATGCCCATAAAACGCCAATGTACGATTTCCAAAATTGTCCATACGCAATGCTTGAACAGCCTTTACAGGTCAGGATTTTAGCATTAATAGTCCTTAGAATTATTTCTCTTACTCTGGCATGCATTAAGTAGTTTTGGGTGTTTATAGTTTTTTATTAAACTTTTTTTTTTTTTTTTTTTTTTTTTTTTTTTTTTATTGCCATCACATTATGGCTGATAAGCCCCCAATGTGATAGCACACTGCACGTGTGACATTAGGGGATCCCTTCTGTCCCCTTTTAAAGATCTCTGTTAAAGGTGATCAGCAAGGACTGTGCTTGATCAGCTTTGAACCCTGGCCAGTATAGTCGGGGTTTGTCACCCCTGAACCAAGAAACACCCAGAGCTGAGCGCTCCCAGGTTCATACTACTCATGGGAGATCACTGATCTGATGTTTTCTGATTTTCTGCAACTCTCCATCCTGACACCTACCATGGATATCCTGGGCAGCCAGGAAAGACAGGTGAGCCCAGGACCTATGGTGGAGGAGGAGTTGCCATGTGTGTGGTATTGGTTATGGTACATGAAGAAGTGATCACTTATACAAGAAATCCAGCAGCTGGGAGTACAAATAAAGGCAAATGCCCGTCGGGAGTCATTGTACCTGTTGGCACGTTAGCTGACCTAATACTTGCAGCAGCAGCGAAAAGGATAATGGCCGTCTGAGTTTTGTCTTTAATTTCGCATGACATGTTTTTTTTTTTTTTGTACCCTGGTCTGCAGTAGATCGTGAGGAAATCACCAAGATGATCCGTGACCTTTGTGATTTGATCCGTAGAGGAAGGCTTGTTCCTCCCCCTTGTTTCCACTGGCCCTTAGAAGATTTTCTTCAGGCCTTACGGGATGCCCAGACTCCATTTCTATCTAGAAAACAGATCCTGACTATGCAGTGAGGCACTGAATTCATTTACTTAGGCTGTATGTCTTTGACTCTATTTACGAGAGCGGAAAATGTATATTTATAGATGTACTTTATAGATATATATTTTTATGCTAGCAAGCACAAATGTCTCAAGTTTAAATATTTATTCTAAAATGTGAACTGTGATTACAGTCTAAATACTGTAGTACTGTATTTTTAATTGTATGTATATAATGCTTCGTAGAGCCTTTAAAATATATTGTCTCATTCAATAAAGTGACATTTTTGTTCTTTCTTTCAATTAGATACTTTATTTTTTTTCTGTAGACTATTGACATTCCATGTGCATTTTCCCTTTATAAACCTATGTCTCTGTAGGTTATGATCTTTAATAATGAAGTGCGGCGCTACAGATGATTTACATATAAGAATAAAAAAATAAAGTCCAATCCACAAGGCTTGATATATAGGGAATGAGCCACTCTTTCCCTATATTTCAAGCCTTGTGGATTGGGCTTTTTTATTATGTGTTTTTCATTTATATGTAAATCCTCTGTAGCGCCGCACTTCATTTATTATTGTTTTATATTGTTGCTTGCAATAATGTGGTGGCTGCTTATGTGGTTTTATTGTCCACTATTACCAATTTTATACACCATAGCATGGAATTGTATTAATTTTTTTGATGTTATGATCTTTTAACTGGGAATGTTTCCTTCTCCCCACTCCAGTGCCCTATGCTGGCGTAGATAAGTAACAGCAACTTCACTAACATCACTGGGCAAAATCAATAAACTCTATTGGCTATTGAACTAGCTATGCAATTGCTGTAACAGAACAAAAGAGGAAAGACTATGAAAATAGAGGTTTCTGGTTCAATGGCCAAGAAACTTTCTGTGACTTCAGTTGAGTTTAAACTATTGTTAGGGGGCAGTACTAGTTTTAGACGAAATGAAGTTCACATATACTGAAATCCTGTACTGTGTGATAGGGGTATCCCAACAGAACAAGAGTCAATAAAGCAGTGGAGGCAAAACTAGCTTCTACCTTCTAAGTGCAAAACAAACCTCCCAAAACAGTAGTATAATACCCCTCACGTGGTCAGCAGATTAAAACAAATACATCAACCAAGTTAGTATTCTTAGGTGTAAAGAAATTTGGTTGTTTACCAAAATGTTAACTTCAGCAGTTAGCAGTGTTTAGTATTGTACAGACAGAGACAGGCAGACTTGGGGGCATATTTGGGTAGAGAGGAAAGGAAAAAGTGTGCCACAGTGCAAGTTATGCTTGGCAGTATCACTGCATTGCGCAGGTAATTAAATAGAACCTGAGCCTACTTGCTGTTCAGATTGCATGTTACATCACAGCCCTTTCACCCACAAGATACCTCACAATTACTGTGTCACTAGGGGAAATCTAGTACCCAGTGTTGATAGGCAATGTAAAGAAAAAATGTAAAGTGTTTTGTCAGCATTGGTTGTCAGTGGGAAGAAAACTCATCAGTGCTCCTTTGGGAGGAAAAATTGTCAGGCTCAGTTGGTGGTTAAGAGAAAAAATGTCCTGGTGTTGGTGGTCAGTGGAAGGAAAATACCACAGACACTGCTGTTAGTGTCAATGAAGGGAAATATAAGCATAAATGATCATAAATATTGTCAGTGCAAGGAAATATACCCCAGTGTCAGTGGTAGAAAATACATCAGCATCAGTTGTTAGTGGCAGATAAAAATGCCCAATTGGTGGTCATTGGAAGACAAAATGCCCTGAGATTGGTAGTTCATGGCAGGATGTTAGTGGAAGGTGAAATGCCCAAGGTGTCGATGGAGAGAAAGGTGTGTCCCATCAATGTCAGGAGGAGGAATGCTGCCGATTTGTTTGTTTGTGTCAGTAGGGGAAATAATGTTCTGTTGGTGTCAGTGGAAAGGAACACTGTCACATCATTGCTGTCAATGATCAGAATATTGCCCTATTATTTGCATCAGTGGGAGGAATAGTGCTAGTGGGAGAACATTGCACTATTGTTGGCAGAAGAGGGTGCCAAAATCCCCTTGGTGTTTAGCAGTTCCTTTTACTGAGGTCCTGTCCTGCTTTGCTGCTGTAGCAGCAAAGTAGCTGTATAGTAGTCTGTCTGGTGCTGCTGGTCAAGAACCTATGCCAGATGATTGGTATTTTTAAAACACAAAATAAATGTTATTATTTGTTCAGGTAAAACATTCCCTAGAAGAAATTATTTTCTAATCTCCTCAGGCTAAACAAGCTCCTATGGGCACAAACAGCTGACAGTCTAGACCAGGGCTTTAAATTTCAAGTTATGCGCTACTAGCCAGTCCTTAGGAGTTACTCACCACCAGTTGCCCCACCCAACCCTTACCCTGCCATGCCCTCATAAATTCTCATTAAATGAGAAGAGGGGGGAGAAAGCGAAGGTGATTAGTATTTCTGCTACTTCTGCACTGTCCCCCCCATAATTTGAGGTTGTAATGAGCACACAACCCCCCCTCTTAGAACAAATAATCTCCATTATAATACAATGCGCCCCCCCAGAACACAGAGCCCCCCTACTACATAAAGTAAATACAGAGCGCACACACACGCACACACACACACACACACACACACACACGTTGGGTTTCTGTGATGCAAAAAAAAAAAAATGAGACAAAGATCAATCATTTCAGAACTTTTTCCACCTTTTTAATGTGAGCTATAAACTATATAACTCAATTGAAAAACAAACTGAAATCTTTTAGAAGGGGGAAGGAAACCTAAAAATCTAAAATAATGTGGTTGCATAAGTGTGCACACTCTTTATAACTGGGGATGTAGCTGTGTTCAGAATTAAGCAATCACATTCAAAATCATGTTAAATAGGAGTCATTGCACACCTGCCATCATTTAAAGTGCCTCTGATTAACCCCAAAGAAAATTCAGCTGTTCTAGTAGGTCTTTCCTGATATTTTCTTAGTTGCATCCTACAGCAAAAGCCATGGTCCGCAGAGAGCTTCCAAAGCATCAGAGGGATCTCGTTGTTAAAAGGTATCAGTCAGGAGAAGGGTACAAAAGAATTTCCAAGGCGTTAGATATTCCATGGAACACAGTAAAGACAGCCATCATCAAGTGGAGAAAATATGGCACGACAGTGACAATACTGAGAACTGGACGTCCCTCCAAAATTGATGAAAAGATGAGAAGAATACTGGTCTGGGAGGCTGCCAAGAGGCCTGAAATTGTTTTCTCACTCCAATATTCTTTGCTGAGTTATATCCTATGAAAAAGATTTCACAAAAAAAAAAATGGTCCTAGTAACAGATCGATCTTGCCACTTCCATTCTTGGCAAGCACTTTAATATTCCAGCTGCAGATTTTCCCTACTTTGAGGATTCTGTTGTTAGACAGTTTGACAAATGGACACAGCAGCAATGGCTGGTCATAAGGCAGGACCAGCGAGAGCAAAGGTTGCTTTTAATTAGGTTTTTTATACTGTTGCTAGTTTGACTGGACAATGACCAGAGAACTCAATCCTGTCTTTGAGGACCCTGTTCTGCTGGAACAATTGCAGTTCATGCACTCAACACTACTATTTTGTGTTGATGCCCTAGAGAATGTAATCTGCCCGTTCTTTAGGAAGACATTGCTTTCTGCGCATAGCCGCAGAATTCTTTGCTAAAAAGCTTGGTCTGCTGAGCTTGCTTGCAAAAGCTGTTTTCTTTTGCATGTCTTTTGATGTTGTCTATTCCGCAAATCCCTCAATAATGTTCTCAAGGATTTTACTGCGGAGATGCACGTTTACCCCCCAAAACCCTCCAAGTCTGCCCAAAATCCCTTCTCACAACAAAGCAGCACCCTCACTGTGTGGAGTTGGTGCATGTCTGTTGGTATTTGCAACAATCTAGTTCAGATATGTCCCAATCCTCTTAGTCCAATCTGTAATTTCCAATTGCTACAAAATAGGATTTCTATCCCTGCCCCTCTTCAATTCCTACCCTCCAGTCTGCCAGCTGCACCTCAAACACAGGAAAATTTGCAGATTGCCCTGAGTCCATATAAAACACAAGGTGTGGTATATCACAGTTCTTGTAAAGGAAAAATCAGGAGGTCTTAACTCAAACCTATTCACTGCCCCAAAACCAAAGGGGGTCACCATATTCTTGACCTAAAATTCCAAAACGGTATCTGCATGTCCCCAATTTTCATATGGGGTCTGCAAAATCGGTCATCGCTTCTTTCAGAGCAAGGGAATTTCTGGCATCAGTGGATAGTCAGGATGCCTATCTTCACATTCCCATCTTTCCAATACACCAAGACGTTTTATGCAATGCTGTGGGAAGACCAACACTTTCAGTTTGTTTCCCTGCCATTTGGGCTATTCTTTACACCAAGAGTCTTTACAAAGGTGCTTGCTCCATGTTTGGCCCTGCTCAGATCTCAGGACATCCAGGTCACAGGACAATTGCATAACTTTATACCGAAAGATATCTTCTCCATGGTTCTGTCCACCATCCAAAATTAAAGTTAAAAGGGCCCACTGGAGGGGAGAGCCTCTCAAGTGGTCTTTAAAATATGTCCCATAAACAGGCCAGGAGGCAGCAAGGCTCTTGGGCAGCTTATCAAGGGTGGAGTAAACCTCATAGTTAGTCTGGCTGAAAAAAGACCAAAGTTCATCCAGTTCAACCAAAAAAAAAAATGTATAATCCTATACCCACAGTTGATCCAGAGGAAGGCAAAAAAAACTCTGCAATGCATTATCTAATTTGCTTCTGCAGGGGGGAAAATTCCTTCCTGATCCCCCAAAAGGCAATCAGATATTCCCTGGATCAACTTTACCTATAAATGTTAGTATACAGTTATGTGTATCTAGGAAAGAATCCAGGCCTTTTTTTTAAAGCAGTCCACTTAGCTGGCCAGAACCAGTGCTTGAGGGAGTCTATTCCACATTTTCACAGCTCTTACTTTGAAGAAACTTTTCTGTAGTTGGAGGTTAAATCTCTTTTCCTCCAGATGTAAAGGGTGCCCCCTTGTCCTCTGTGATGACCTCAGGGTGAATAACTCTACACCGAGTTCACTATATGAACCACTGATGTATTTATACATGTTGATCATATCCCCCCTTAATCTCCTCTTCTCAGAGAGAATAAATTCAGTTCCTCTAATCTTTCCTCATAGCTGAGCTCCTCCATGCCTCTTATCAGTTTGGTTGCCCTTCTCTGTACTTTCTCCAGTTCCCCAGTGTTCTTTTTGTGAATAGGTGCCCAAAACTGAAGTGTATATTCCAGATGAGGTCTTACTAATGATTTGTATAGGGGAAAAATGATATCTTTCTCTCTCTCTGGAGTCTATACTGCTTCTAAATACAACAGAGGATTTTGCTCGCTTTAAAAAACACAGCTTGGTATTGCCATCATTAAGTTTATGATCTACCAGAACTCCCAGATCCTTCTTCACCATTGATTCCCCCAGTTGTACTCCCCCTAGTATGTATGATGCATGCATATTCTTAGCCCCCAAGTGCATAACCTTACACTTACCAACAATAAACCTCATTTGCCACATTGTTGCCCAATTAACCTCCCTGGCGGTATTCCCGAGTGTAGCTCGGGGTAAAGTTTCAGCACCACAAGCGGTAACTCCGAGCTACACTTGGGAATACCCTGCAGCGTTGCTCCGGGATACCTTCTGCACTTACCTTGTCCTGCGTTCCCGCGATGTGTTCCCTGAAGCGTCCCCGGCCAATTCCGGCATCTGTCATCTGGGTTCCGTCCCCTGCGAGCGTCGGGACGTACGGGGGACGTAACCGGCGGGAAATTTAAAAATGTCAAAAAGTGACATTCACTAAATACACTAAAATCACACAGTATAACATTACTGTAGCAAACCATGTCACATACATTTTGTCCCTAGTGCTTTGTCCTGTGCCCTGCCTGCATTTTTACAGTTCTTTCTGCCTGGAAACTGAGAAATGTCCATGGCGTCCAAAAAGTGTCCCTTTTGGTCAAAAGCGGTTTTAGACCAGCTAGAGAACAGCGATAGTAAATTAGAACCACTTGCAGAATTGAGTGATAATGATTCGTGGGGAAAGTCGTCATCAGACACTGAAAATGATTTTGCGACTTTGTTCAGTGATGTGTGAACTTGGCGCTTTATTTCACATTTCAGTGTTTTTGGTTTGATTACATTATTGAATTACATTTTTTGTTGTTATATTATTTTTTATGATTATTAAATTATAATTTATGATTTTGTGTTTCAAATTTTATCATACCCGGGATGTTTTCTAGACTCTTGTTCGGACAGATTTCAGTGAGTTATTCCTAAAAATTACAGACCTACAATAAAAAAACTACATATTTCCATACAAAAAAAGGTACCGCTTTGAGCATAGAAATACTGACATAATCAGACTGCTAGGGAGGCTACACAGTGCATTGAGATCGGCTTGTAAATTGGAGATATCCTGTAAGGACGTTATTTCACTGCACAGCTTGGTGTCATCTGCAAAGACCCTATATTGTTTATAAATATTAAAAAGTAAGGGTCCCAACACTGAACCTTGGGGTACACCACTAACAACCCTAGACTATTCAGAGTATATGTATCTTACATTTGGACGTGCCAATGGACATATATACACTATTAAAAAATGAAAAGGAAGGGAGGAGCAGCGATCTAATACTTGGAAACCAAAAATAGTAAACTGCAAATTTATTTAGACAAGCATTCCTCAGGATGCGTATATATCGCATCCAAAATGCAGACCGTACCTACCAAACACAATGTCCCAAAATACTAATATGTGAAAAAATATATCTAATAAAATAAAATATATAACAAGTGCAACAATTATATCTTAAATCTCATCAATTGTATATCATATATCCATAACCACTAATATATGAGTGACAATGTGTCCATCATGCATAAATGTGCAAAAAGAAGTCCTTCTTGTTATCTTTATAAATACTTGTGTTTTTAAAACACTACACTGTGTCAAATTCACCACCGGACAAATTGAATGAACTCACCAGAGCTCCATGCTGGTAATGTTATAAACCAGCTGATAAGCAGTGGCTCTGGGAGCAACGATCTGCAGGAATGCCAACAGCCTCTACAACTCTGTGGATGAATCCTTGTGTGTGTATATGTATGTGTGTATATACAGTGGGGCAAAAAAGTATTTAGTCATCCACCAATTGTGCAAGTTCTCCCACTTAAAAAGATGAGAGAGGCCTGTAATTGGCATCATAGGTAGACCTCAACTATGAGAGACAAAATGAGAAAAAAAATCCAGACAATCACATTGGCTGATTTGGAAAGAATTTATTTGCATATTATGGTGGAAAATAAGTATTTGGTCAATATCAAAAGTTCATCTCAATACTTTGTTATATATCCTTTGTTGGCAATGACAGAGGTCAAACATTTCCTGTAAGTCTTCACAAGGTTGGCACACACTGTTACTGGTATGTTGGCCCATTCCTCCATGCAGATCTCCTCTAGAGCAGTGATGTTTTGGGGCTGTCGCTGGGCAACACAGACTTTCAACTCCCTCCAAAGGTTTTCTATGGGGTTGAGATCTGGAGACTGGCTAGGCCACTCCAGAACCTTGAAATGCTTCTTACAAAGCCACTCCTTCGTTGCCCGGGCAGTATGTTTGGGATCATTGTCATGTTGGAAGACCCAGCCACATTTCATCTTCAATGCCCTTTGCTGACGGAAGGAGGTTTGCACTCAAAATCTCACGATACATGGCCCCATTCATTCTGTCTGTACATGGGTCAGTCGTCCTGGTCCCTTTGTGGAGAAACAGCCCCAAAGCATGATGTTGCCACCCCCATGCTTCACAGTAGGTATGGTGTTCTTTGGATGCAACTCAGCATTCTCTCTCCCCAAACACGAGTTGTGTTTCTACCAAACAGTTCTATTTTGGTTCCATCTGACCATATGACATTCTCCCAATCCTCTTTTGGATCATCCAAATGCTCTCTAGCAAACTCCAGACGGGCCCGGACATGTACTGGCTTAAGCAGGGGGACACGTCTGGCACTGCAGGATCTGAGTCCCTGGCGGCGTAGTGTGTTACTGATGGTAGCCTTTGTTACGTTGGTCCCAGCTCTCTGCAGGTCATTCAGTAGGTCCCCCGTGTGGTCCTGGGATTTGTGCTCACTGTTCTGTGTGATCATTTTGACCCCACGGGGTGTGATCTTGTGTGGATCCCCAGATCAAGGGAGATTATCAGTGGTCTTGTATGTCTTCCATTTTCTAATTATTGCTCCCACAGTTGATTTGTTCACACCAAGCTGCTTGCCTATTGCAGATTCAGTCTTCCCAGCCTGGTGCAGGTCTACAATTTTGTTTCTGGTGTCCTTCTACAGCTTTTTGGTCTTCACCATAGTGGAGTTTGAAGTGTGACTGTTTGAGGTTGTGGACAGGTGTCTTTTATACTGATAACAAGTTCAAACAGGTGCCATTGATACAGGTAATGAGTGCAGGACAGAGGAGCCTCTTAAAGAAGAAGGTACAGGTCTGTGAGAGCCAGAAATCTTGCTTGTTTGTAGGTGACCAAATACTTATTTTCCACCATAATTTGCAAATTCTTTCCAAATCAGCCAATGAGATTGTCTGGATTTTTTTTCTCATTTTGTCTCTCATAGTTGAGGTCTACCTATGATGCCAATTCCAGGCCTCTCTCATCTTTTTAAGTGGGAGAACTTGCACAATTGGTGGCTGACTAAATACTTTTTTGCCCCACTGTATATACAGTTGTGTTCAAAATAATAGCAGTGTGTTGAAAAAAGTGAATAAAGCTCAAAATCCTTCTAATAGCTTTTATTTCCATACACACAAATGCATTGGGAACACTACACATTCTATTGCAAATCAAAACATGAAACAAAATATATCAAATTTGTGTTGTTCCTCTAAAAAAATTGAAGAAAAGTGAATATTAATTATTAGACTGTTCAAAAAAATAGCAGTGTTTGTATTCTTCTTTACAAACTCAAACATTCACTATATAAACAGACATTTTGAAGATTTTGCTTTTCCTTTGAATCACTTAATTAATATTTAGTTGTATAAGCACTGTTTCTGAGAACTGCTGTACATCTGTGTTGCATGGAGTCAACCAACCTCTGGCACCTGTGAACAGGTATTCCAGCCCAGGATGATTGGACTATATTCCACAGTTCTCTATTTCTTCGTTTTGCCTCAGAAACTGCATTTTTGATGTCACCCCACAAGTTTTCTATTGGATTAAGATCTGAGGATTGGACTGGCCACTCCATAACATCAATCTTGTTGGTCTGGAACCAAGATGTTGCACGTTTACTGGTGTGTTTGGGGTCGTTGTCTTGTTGGAACACCCATTTCAAGGGCATTTCCTCTTCAGCATAAGGCAGCATGACCTCTTCAAGTATTCTGATGTATTCAAACTGATCCATGATCCCTGGTATGCGATAAATACACCCAACACCGTAGTATGAGAAACATCCCCTTATCATGATGCTTGCGCAACCATGCTTCACTGTCTTCACAGTGTACTGTGGACTTGAATTCAGTGTTTGGGGGTCGTCTGACAAACTGTCTCCGGCCACTAGACCCAAAAAGAACAATCTTACTTTCATCAGTCCACAAAATGTTGCGCCATTTCTCTTTAGGCCAGTCAATGTGCTCTTTGGCAAATTGTAACCTCTTCAGCACGTCTTTTTTTCAACAGTGGGACTTTGCGGGGGCATCTTGCAGATAGCTTGGCTTCACATAGGCGTCTTCTAATTGTAACAGTACTCACAGGTAACTTTAGACCTTCTTTGATCTTCCTGGAGCTGATTGTTGGCTGAGTCCTTGCCATTTTGGCTATTCTATCTATTTGAATGGTAGTTTTTCGCTTTTCTCCACGTCTTTCAGGTTTTGGTTGCCATTTTAAAGCATTTGCGATAATTTTAGCTGAGCAGCCTATCGTTTTCTTCACTTCTTTATATGTTTTCCCCTCTCCATTCAACTTTTTAATCAAGGTACGCTGTTCTTCTGAACAATGTCTGGAACGACCCATTTTCCTCAGAATTTCAGAGAGAAATGCACTGTAACCAGCATGTACAACATTTTCTGCCTTCCTTCCTTAAATAAGGGCAATAATTGCCACCTGTTTTTCAAAGAATGAATGACCTCACTAATAGAACTCCACACTGCTATTATTTTGAACATGCCCCTTTCAATTAGTGATTCAATTACACAGAATCAGCAGCATGCATGTCATGACTGTTTGGTCTGTTGGATTTCTATTACTCTACTACACCTGCTAGTAAATTATTTGCCATGTAGAAATATCATTTCTACCAAAAACAGTGATTGATCAGGTTAGTGATGTCTGACTGCTATTATTTTGAACACAACTGTGTATATATATATATATATATATATATATATATATAATAAATAAAAACACCATAGGAGAGGAAGCTTCATAGTGTAAAACCATTAAAATAATTTTATTCCACTTTAAAAAACATAAGCCGCACTCACAAAGTAAAGTCTCATAGCCGACACCAGCAGTAACTGCATGTGTGAAACAATCGGATCAGCTCCGGGCTCACCAAACACCGGCAGCTCACCTGTACATGGTACAGCTCACCTCCAAGGCCCCCCCCCCCCCCCTATGCGTTTCATCATTCGACGTCCTCTAGGAGTGGTAGGATTCAGAGTATGAATCATTACCCACTACTCTCTGTTTACAATCTTTCAGCCAGTTTTCTATCTATTTACATACTGATTTTTCCAAGCCTGTAGACTTCACCTTACACATTAGCTGTGTGTGGGGAACTGTGTCATCATTGGTGTCAGTGGGAGGAATAGTGCCCCAAGGACCAGATAAAGGCAAGCAAATGGTCACAGTTTGGAGACCATTGCTGTATTCAAATGATTGATCCCCCAAGCATTATCGGTACCCAGAAGATGCAACGCTTCATTATTCATTCATAATTTAATCCAACCAGCACATACACAGTCTCATGTATAAAGTGACACTGTGTATGGCAGCAGTGCAGGCGACATCCTATCTGCTGCCGATTATAAAGAGAGCCAGGCCTAGTACTTCACCATTCAGCATGAGCCTTCTATTTTTATCAATAGATACAAGGATTCCTCTGACCAAGGTGAAGGCAGGTGGATGACATTACAGTGCTGCTTCGTGTACTATTGTAGAAATGTTACTACAGTCCATTACAGCACACCCAGTGGCCTATTGTTCGGAATGGAAATCGTTTGTTTGGGTCAGCTTGGTCCAGAATCTTTCTAAATGACATTAGACAAGGAAATCTATGTTAGGTTTATTATCTTAGCTTCTGTTGTCCGCATTCTTGCATTGGAAAATTGTCATGCAGACTTTCTCAGTCAGGGGAATGTATTTAATTTTCTACAATGCATTTTAATTTAACAAAGCATCCCAAATTAAGAATAAATCAGATCTTTCATGTGGAGTGAATTATTGCCTGTTTTGATACTGTTGCTTGTAAATCTTGTATAAGAGAAAATGTATTATATAGTTGTTCTGTGTCTTTGATATGCGTTTCTGTTGGTCAAGTATGCAAGTGTTTGACCAGATGCGA